GGGCTGTGGCCGCGTGCAAGTGGCGTGCACCGCCTCGAGGGGCTGCCGGGCCCCGAAGGCCGGGCTGGGGTGGGACGCCCGGTGTGTGGCTGCGGAAAGTGGGGCGTGGAGTGTGGAGTTGCGGCCGCGGCCGTGGACGGGGCTCGGCGTCCCGTGGAGTTCGGGTGCGAGTGGATGCAGAAGTGCGTGCTCCGTGTGTGCAGAGCGGGCGGCTGCGGGTGCGCGCGGTGATGGGATGGAGTGCGTGCAGGTGTGGGGCGTGGGCACGATGGGGAGGGGTGTGAAGAGGAGTGTGCACGGTCCAGGCCCCGCTGGGTGGTGGCGGTGGAAGCGATGAGGTGTGCCCCGTCGGGTCGTGCCCTTAGTCCTCTGGGCGGCGTGTGTAGAATGTGCCGGTGCCGCGTGTGGCTCGGCGAGCAGCTCCTACCTGAAAGGCCTGCTGTCCCAGCGCTGCCGAGCTGGGTCACAGTGTGTTGCACAGTGGACCCCGGGTGTGTCCGTTCTTCCTCCCACCCCCAGCCCCACCCCCACGTCTGCGCTTCCCTTCTTCGTGTGGGGGAAAGAGCCTCCTGGCTGGCCACCCTGCCCTACGAAGAGTCTCCTCTGATGGAGGGGCCTGCTCCCAGCCAACCCAGCCTGAACCGCTACGTGGCCTCCCTCCCAGGTCAAGGCACGTGGGTGATGGGAGGTGAGCTCTGAACTAGCGCTGCGGGCCGGACAACTTTCTCCCCAGAGGCCCACAGAATCCCACCCCCAAACGGGAGACTCTTTTCCCACGAACTCCCTCTCCAGCTGGAAAGTTCTTGGTGCCTGACCTCCTCTAGCAGTAGGGGGCAGCCCTTTCGTTCCCTTTAGCCCTCTGGGCCCTGCGCGGAGTGGTAATTTGGGTTTCCCGATCCTCCTTCCCTCTTCCCCTGACGGAAGCCTGGGCCCCACCAGCCGCTCCCTCCTCCGGCCCTGCCCCAGGGTGAAGGCTTCCGCAGCAAACTCTTCTCGTTCCTCCGGGAGGATCTCGGGGGACCGAGCGGAGCGGGAGGGGCGGGGCAGGGGGCGGGAAGGCGAGCTCGATTCTCAGCTGTCAGCAAAGGCAGCATTGATCTGCTGAGCGCCTGTGGGGGAGGGAGAGAGGCAGATCTGCAGGCGGCGGGGAGGGGGCTGCCGGGACCTGGGGGGTCCCCGAGCCCAGCTTGGCAGCTGGCCTACACCCGTGCCCGGCTAGTGACCCTTTTCCCTCTGCATAACACGGGATGCCTTCTGGGGTCTGACCTGAATCTTTTCTGCTGCTCCTTGAAGCTGCAGGTGTGCCCAGGGCCAGAGCCTGGTGCCTCTGGGCAGGTTATGCCCCGACCTCGCTGGTAGCTGGTGAAGGTTTCTGGACCCCAGGGCCCAGCTACAGATGCACTGCATCCTTCCTGTCTCCCTGTGGGATGAAGCTAGCACCCTCTAGAGATGCGGCACCGCTCTCCGGTACTCTATGGGACTGTCTGGGCTTCCACAATCAGGGAGGGGTCCTGTAGGGTAGGACTAAGAAGATCTGAGGACTTGAATGGTAGGTGGAAAGAAAAGCAGTTGTTAAAGGATCTGGGTTGTTCCGGAGATCTTTTAGAGGCCGTTCTGTGGCAGAAACGCCACTTGAACCCAGGTTGCCCTTACCAATACCCAGAATATCTGAACCTGGGTCTGTTCTTGGAAATCTGATCTTTAAGCTTAGCGTCACCTCTGGACCCCACGGTTCTCTTCCCATCTGAGATGCTGAACAAGTCTCTTCCTCTCTTTGTGAGGAGCCCTCACTGCCAGGAGAGGGCCCCTCATCACCTTTGCCAACTCCAGCTCCAGACAACCTCCTCACTGGCAGCAGGAAAAGGAAAGAGACCATGGCTGCCAGAGGGATGGAAGTTAGATCTCAGGAAGGACTTTCATAGGACACAGACTTTGCCTGTTTCTCCTGCAGGGGTATGTGTAACGAACGGAGGGACAGGCCCACTCCTTTTTAAAGTGGAAAGACGTGGACTCTTCTTAAGGGGTGAGGGGAATGGAGAAGATGGTCCTAGGAGGCCATAAGCGGTTTATTTGGTGTGTGTGTGTGTGTGTGTATGCGCGTGCGCGCGTGCGTGCGCATAAGGACTGGAAGAGGCAGAGGAGAAAGTCTGGTTCCGAGAGGACAGGTGGCCACTTTGAGGGTCACCCGGTGGCCTTCCTGCCCCCATCCGGATTCCCAGGACATGACTGAGAGGATGGACTTTCCTCACCACAGCCTTTAGTGACTAAGACACTTTTCTGAGCAAACAGCTGTCTCAAGCTCTCTCAGTCCGCCTCCCTGCTGCAGGGGTGGGGGTGGGGGGGGCGCTGTGGCTTCCCACCCTCCTCCTTCTCTTCCTCTCTCCCACCTGTTCCCTGCACCCCACCCTCAGCAGCTTCTTTCCCACCCCCCAGCCCCTGCACCTCTCCCTGGTAACACTGCCTAACACTACCGGAATGTCTCCACTCTGCCCAGACCCACCTGGGCGGGTCCCTTCCCCACTATGGGCCTCAGTTTTTCCATCTGTACCAGAAGAAGGGGGCAGGACTCCAGGATCTCCTGTAGTTCATCACTGTCACCATCATCCATCAATGGAGCAAGTATTGATTGAGAGGAAGGGTGGGGAGGGAGAGCTCCCATTTGCAGGGCACCAGCTGTGTGCCAGGTCCTGCCCCATCTGAGACAGAGAGCAGCCATTTGCATGTGTGGAAGCTGAGGCTCAGAGAGATACAGGAACGCACTGAAGGATACACAGCCCGTGGGTGACTCCAGAACTGTCTGTGACCTGTCCTCCCTGCTGGCTGGCACCTGCCTACTGTGCACTGGGATCCTGGGACCAGTGCTGTAGGCTGAGGGGAACTGTAGATGGCCTGATCCTTGTTCTCCGTGGCTCACCCCTGCCAGGGGTGGAGGCTCCCGGGTCTGTGAGGGTTCAGGTCTAAAAGTGTCTGGGACCTCTGTCCCGGGGCCAGGCTCAAGCCTGTCATTGACTATAACAGCCCACCGGTGTGATCTCAGGTCAACCAAAGGTGCAGATTCTTTTCCTGGAGTGGGAAGCGGGGTTTTAAGTCTGTGGTTTTCAGATTTTACTAACAGTGGAATCCTCCTTATAGACAGAATCGTAAAGTAGCACCCCAACATGTAAGAAGTATTCAAGCACAGGTGTTCTGCTTGGGTTGGGGTGGGGGGGGGTCAAGGTTCCACCCACCCGACTTCCTCCTCTTCCCTCTCCCCCCGGGTTTTCTTACAGCTCTTGGGGCTGCTAGAGGTTACACAAGGGAAAAGTCTCCACTGGCAATGTCTCCACAAGGGGACAGGGGCTTGGGGGACTCGGAGAGGTGCGGAGAAGTGCAGCTAATGACGCCTGCAGACCCCGTTAATGAGGTCCGGGCTAAATGCTAGGCCTTATCCAGGGTGATCCGCCTGCATTGTTTTATTTCGGCACCCCAACCCAAAACCCTGTGATGCAATGCTGCTTACACCCCCATTTTACAGACAAGAAGACCGAGGGTCAGTGAAGAGACTCACCTAATCTTGCTCTCTACCCCTGTGTTGTAGGGTGTGTGTGTGTATGTGTAGGTGGGGGGTAGGGATGGAGAAGTTATAGAGCAGAGGGGAGGAAGGGCAAGCTTGGCAAGGGGGACACCAGGGGCCTTGAATGCTAAGCTGGAGGGTCCAGTTTGGCCTGATGAAAGAGTCTGGCCACAGCCTTAG